TCGTCATCATTACATGTACATATCCATATCATATCCATATCAGAGGAGAGAGATCAACATATTTATTGATAAAATGCATTGCAATATGTCAATTGCTTATTAACATATATTCCAGTCAAACATAAATACCTAGGATATCCCAGAACCATTAACACTTTTTCAGCCAACAACTGAACTGCCATCTCTTTTCATTTGATAAATTTACTAAAGAAAGCTTTGTCATTTCAATGTGGGACAAAGCGACCCTCCATGTTGGAGTGAGTGAGTAAGTGAGTCATTATTTCACGTCACATCGGCAATATTCCAACCATATCGTGACGAGAACACTTGACATTGAAATAGAATATTTATAGAGATTATAAAACCTGCCGACAAAGGACAGTAAAGCAACTAGAGCATCACAGCTATATATGTAAAACTAGTAATTGAATCTAAAACATTTTAACTATAGGGGACAACACAGTATAAAAATGGGCCACAGATCGCCAACAACTGAAGGTAGATCACCATACTAGGAGCCATGGGGACTTACATTACTTTTGCTACCTGCATGGATCCTAGCTGGATTTACGCCATCCCTTCAGCCGCTGGCTATTGCAGGAAAATTTAGCCAACAGTTAAAATACCCAAAATACTACGTTTAAAATGTGATAATTTATATTTTACTTTGAAAGTTTTGGGACTTACGTACCCTCTCAGGAGGACAATAATTTTACGGTACTTTAACCCCCCTTTGAGGGTACAGCCACTAACAATCTAAGTCAACAATCTAAACTACCAATCATTAAAATAAATCTATTTACAGAACATATTAATCAAAAATCATTAATCAAATCAATTTATTTTAACCAACCAAGAATTAAATGAACATGAACAGTGTTGAAAAGATCCTTAACAGTTTTAACATTGAAATATTTATCCCTTATGATGGAGAATTCGACACAGTCAAGCAGGAGATGCTTGACTGTGACTCTCTCATCACAAGGGATACAAAACGGAGGATCTTCACCTTTTTAACAAGTATTTGTGAGTATACCTTCGTCGCATAATGACCTCCTCAAATCTGGACTGACAACCCAAGTGAGTGTAACCAATATAAGGTTTTATTTCATGCAGTTTATTAATACCTACTTGGGTGTCCCACTTCTTCTGCATCAGATCACGGATGTAGGTTCTAATGCCAGCTTTGTAATCAGAATATTGAATAAGAAGTGGTGTCACAGATTTATTTAGTGCTGCCTTGGCAGCAAGATCAGCCATTGTGTTCCCAGAAATGCCAACGTGGCTGGGTAACCACTCCATGTTGGATGACCTAAGACCTGACCAATACAGGACTACCACTGTCTACATGTCACATCTAATGGAGTGTGAGCTGCAGTCAGGTTGGTTAAACAACTTCACTTCCATCTCCCAACTTAAGATCAACAAGCAGTTGTAAACATTCATTGGTATTCCTATAACATGGATACGGGCTTATGTGTATGTATTTATCATTCAATTATTAAAAAAATACAAAAAGTTCTATGTTTGAACATTTCATCTGTGCGTGAGATGTAGTTTCAAATCAAAATCCCATGTTCAAGGTCTCTGGCCCAAAGTAAATGCTGGTACTTATACTTATGATACATGATGAACCAACACTGTAATATACATCTAAAATGCACACTGTGTGCAACAATAAATACAAATTCTAGTATTAAAGTGCATGCAAGAAACCCATGGTAACATATAGTAACATGTCTTCATTGCAAAAGTCAAAATTTACTATTCAAGTCCCAAAATATAGGCTTGTAGCATGATATTAACACTAATATAAACATCTCAAATATTTTGCTATCAAAATACATGCAATAACACCTTGGCAGCGTGTCTTCTTTACAATAACAAATCATTTTAACGTACAATAACCCTCATTACAAATACAAGTAATCAGCTTTCCCCTAATTGTTTCATCCACACTCAAGATCTTTCAAACGAACATGAATAATTCTTGTTTCCAATTATTCTCTGTTTTATCAGCTACACGTTGTTTTCTTAATATGAGATTTTACACATAACATACTGAATTTGATAAACCCAGTATCTCCGCAGTAAATGGATGAAGCAGCCTATTCAGGCCACGTGCGGTTACCTCCCCTACTGAGTATATTTGTTCTGTTGGAGGCCTGTGGAAAAAGTATGGTAGACACTTCAGGGTCTCCCTTTCATTCTTGTAACACGTATTTAGACACATTCTATGAACTTAGGGGTTTCGTTTTAAATGTAACTGAACAACTAACAACTTAACGATAACGTGTAAAACACATACACCAAAACCTGAATTGTCACAGGCAACGTACACAAACCTTAAAACGAAAGAATGTCCTATACAGTTACAGTCTTCCATCTTCACGTACCCACAGACATTTTACAGAATACAAACACATCAAGACTCCATAACAACCGTGGAATGACAAATGGACTCACAAAGTTATATTTCTTCACAAGGCCCATCTGATACACTGCATAGAGTGTACAAATGTATGAGTTACCTCCCTTTAGGTACATTCTTTATTTTTTTGGTCCTTGCAGATTTAATAATAAATTGATTACTCACATCTACCAAGTGCTTATCTGTCAGAACCCTAGATGAAAGGATTTTCATTCCATCTTGTATCCATGGCAACAACGTGTGCCTCACATATAACAGACAAAACTTTCTCAGGAACCTAATGTATTCTGTACAATCAATCTGGGAAACAGAATTTTGATAGTGATTTTCATAGTATATACAAGAACATGCAAAATTCATAACATTTTCAGCTCCTTGTGCATATTTACAGCCAAACCACCTGATGGGAGTAAAAATATTACCACATAGTGGTGATACAATTTCAAATTTGTTCACCTATAAATCGTATGTTTTCAGTTCGCTTGACTATACTTTGCCTTTTGCTACATTTGCTTTCATACCATGTTTATCATAAAATCTGCTACACGCTCATTCTGTTTCAGCAAACTGACAAACATCTATCTTGCGTTCTTCATCAGAGAAAAAGACCTAACATGGAAGTATCGAGACGCCCTTACTTGACCTGCTGTTTATGTTAAAACAGCACGAGTTTGCAGGAAGCGATAAGCTTCTCTTTTCAATTGCAGATATTTCAGTCAGTTTGGTGATATTTTCCACTGACACATTTACAAATATCTCACGATCATTAAAAATCAAAGTAAACAGTATGGGGCTAATTGTGCAGCCTTGCCTCATAACATGTACCCACTCTACAGAGACAGTACTTGCATAATGTCTACTGAAGGCAGTTGTACTCTTACGTCTACGAACAGACAAAACATGCTAACGCACACATTTGTTGTTTGTTATTTAAACATGTTTATACCTATCACTGGAAATAAGCAAAATTGGTGTTGTTATTTGTTAAAGTTGACATCTTTAACGGAGGGCGTCACGTCATATGCATATCCATATCATAGTAGTGAGATCAACATATTGATTGAGAAAATGCATTGCAATATGTCAATTGGCTACTGACATATATTCCACTGAAACGTACATACCTAGGATATCCCAGAACCACTAACACTTTTTCAGCCATCAACTTTCTGCCCTCCCTTTACGTTTCATAAATTCACTGAAAACTGTGTCATTCCAACGTGGGACAAAGCAACACTGTGCACACTGTGTGCAACAATACCTACAAACTCTAGTATTAAAGCACATACAAGAAAACCGCGGTAACATATAGTAATATGTCATTATTACAAAAGCAAACAAATTAAATGTACACTAATCTACATTTCAAATAATCATTTTTACCCTAATCTTTACCAACACTGAAACATTTATAAAACAACATGTATAATACTAAGACCTGAATATACAGGACTACTACTGTCTACACCATATCACATCTAATGGAGTGTGTGCTGCAGTCTGTCAGACACTCCTTGGATGGGTGACCGAGTTTGGCAGCTGGACTCCTGAGAGTTTCTTGACTTAGCGAGTCAAATGCTATACTCTGTATTCCCAACACCGTGTTCGATTCCTCACATGAGTAAAATGTGTGAAGCCCATTTCTGGTGGTCCCCGCCCTGATATTGCTGGAATATTACTAAAAACGGCATCAAATCGAACTAAGTCACTCACTCACTTTAACGGTGTAGGGCCCAACAGGAGGGAGTGCGCGCACACACACACACTGCATGTGCTTCTTAGTATACGTCGTTGTGGACTGGTAAAATGTAGATTCCATCTGTACATTAGCATGAAGTATCATCCTGTACATTACCAACTACTCCAGCCCTCACTAACACATGGACACAATCTGCAGATCTCAACTGTTATATAAAATAGTAAGTATCTGTATTATTCTGTTCATCAACACCAACTAGGCACAGTCTGAAGATCGCCGTCCTGCTGCTTCTTTATCAAGTGGTGTGTCACCTGTACTATTCAGTACATTAACATCAGCCCCAGCCTTCAGAAATGCATCAACACACTCTGTAGATCCCCACATTGCAGCTTTATGAAGTGGTGTGTCACCTGTACTGTTGAGTACATTAACATCAGCCCCAGCCTTCAGTAACACAGCAACGCCCTCTGTATATCCCCGTCCTGCTGCTGTATGAAGTGGTGTGTCACCTGTTGTATTCAGTACATTAACATCAGCACCAGCCTCCAGTAAGACATGAATCCATACTGTAGATTTCCACACCGATGCCATATGAAGTGGTGTGCTACCTGCATTATTCTGCGCATTAACATCAGCTCCAGCGTTCAGTGACACATCCACGCGTTCTGAAGAACTAACTCCTGCTGCTTTGTGAAGTGGTGTGTCACCTGTATTATTCTGTACATTAACACCAGCTCCAGCCTTCAGTAACACATCGACACACTCTTTTGTAGAAAGAGGTGTGTCAAATACTATACCCCATAGTGACACGTCTTCAGAAGCCATCACTGTTAATGCTGTATGAAGTGGTGTGTCACCTGCTACATTCTGTACATTAACATCAGCTCCAGCCTTCAGTAACACATCAAGGTGCTCTCTAGATCCCCGCCCTGCTGCTACATGAAGTGGTGTGTCACCTGTATTATTCTGTACATTAACATCAACTCCAGCTTTCAGTAACACAGCAACACACTCTTCAGATCCCTGTCCTGCTGCTACATGAAGCAGTGTGTCACCTGTGTCATTCTGTACATTAACATCAGCTCCAGCCTTCAGTAACACATCAACACACTCTGTAGATCCCCGTCCAGCTGCTGTATGAAGAGCTGTGTCACCTGTATTATTCTGTACATTCACATCAGCTCCAGACTTCAGTAACACGTAAACAGTCTCTTCGGATCCCAGCATTGCTGCTTCTGCTGCGTGAAGTGGTGTGTCACCTGTATTATTCCGTACATTAACATCAGCTCCAGCCTTCAGTAACATATCAACACACTCTGCAGATCCCCACTCTGCTGCAATGTGAAGTGGCGTGTCACCTGTATCATTCTGTACATCAACATGAGCTCCAGCCTTCAGTAACACATGAACACACTTTGTAGAGTCAAACATTGCTGTTTCTGCTGCGTGAAGTGGTGTGTCACCTGTATTATTCTGTACATTAACATCAGCCCCAGCCTTCAGTAACAAATTAACAAACACTGCAGATCCCTTTCCTGCTGCTCTATGAAGTGGTGTGTCACCTGTATTATTCCGCACATAAACATCAGCTCCAGCCTTCAATAACATATCAACACAATCTGTAGATCCCTGTTCTATTGCTTGAAGAAGGGGTGTGTCACCTGTATTATTCTGTATGTTAACATGAGCTCCAGCCTTCAGTAACATATCAACACACTCTGTAGATCCCTGTTCTATTGCTTGAAGAAGTGGTGTGTCACCTGTATTATTTTGTGCATTAACATCAACTCCTGCCTTCAGTAACACATCAATGCACTCTGCAGATGCCCGTCCTGTTGCTTGAAGAAGTGGTGTGTCACCTGTATTATTCTGTACGTTAACATGAGCTCCAGCCTTCAGTAACATATCAACACACTCTGTAGATCCCTGTCCTGCTGCTTGAAGAAGTGGTGTGTCACCTGTATTATTTTGTGCATTAACATCAACTCCTGCCTTCAGTAACACATCAATGCACTCTGCAGATGCCCGTCCTGTTGCTTGAAGAAGTGGTGTGTCACCTGCATTATTCTGTACATTAACATCAGCTCCAGCCTTCAATAACATATCAACACACTCTGCAGATCCCTGTCCTGTTGCTTGAAGAAGTGGTGTGTCACCTGTATTATTTTGTACATTAACATCTGCTCCAACCTTCAGTAACACATCAACGCACTCTGTAGATCCCCGTCCTGTTGCTTGATGAATTGCCGTGTCGCCTGTGTTATTTTGTACATTAATATTCGCTCCAGCTTTCAGTAACATATCAACACTGTTTGTAGATCCCCACGCTGCTGTTACATGAAGTAGTGTGTCACCTGCTGCATTCTGAAGGTTAATATCAGCTCCAGCCTTCAGTAACATAGTAGCACGCTCTTCAGATCCATACATTACAGCTGTATAAACTGGCGTACAACCTCTATTGTTCTTTACATTCACATCAGCTCCAGCCTTCAATAACTCATCAACACACTTTGTAGAACCATGGCAAGTTTCACCAAGAGGATATGTGTCTCCTGTATTATTCTTTAAGACCACAACAGCTTCAGCCTTCAGTGCCACATTAAAACGCACTGTAGATACATACTTCAATACAACGCTATGAAGTGCTGTGTCCCCTGCATTGTCCTGTACATTGACATTAGCTCCAGCCTTCAGTAACACATTAACACAATCTGTAGATTCCTGGACTGCTGCTTCATGAAGTGGTGTTACACCTGTATTAGTTTGTACATTAACATCAGCTCCAGCCTTCAATAACATATCAACACACTCTACAGATTCACGTTCTGCTGCTCCATGAAGTGGTGTGTCACCTGTATTAGTCTGTACATTAACATCAGCTCCAGCCTTCAGTAACACATCAACACAATCTGTAGATTCCTGGACTGCTGCTAAATGAAGTGGTGTTACACCTGTATTAGTTTGTACATTAACATCAGCTCCAGCCTTCAATAACATATCAACACACTCTACAGATTCACGTTCTGCTGCTCCATGAAGTGGTGTTACACCTGTATTAGTTTGTACATTAACATCAGCTCCAGCCTTCAATAACATATCAACACACTCTGCAGTTTCACGTTTTGCTGCTTTATGAAGTCCGTATCCTACTGCTTGAAGAAGTGGTGTTACACCTGTATTATCTTGTACATTAACATCAGCTCCAGCCTTCAGTAACACATCAACACACTCTGAAGAGCCCCATCCTGCTGCTCTATGAAGTGGCGTGTCACCTGTATTATTCTGTACAGTAACATCAGCTCCAGCCTTCAATAACATATCAACACACTCTGCAGATTCACGTTCTGCTGCGATATGAAGTGCTGTGTCTCCCGTAACTGTTGAGGCTTGGTTCACACTGGCTCCTTTCTTCAGCAAATACGAGACAACATTAGGGTGTCCTCTGCATGAGCTCTGAAGAGGAGTACTTCCATCAGATGCCTTCATGTTCATAGTAGCACCCTTCTCAAACAACATCTTGACGATATTCAGCTCCCCGACCTCACATGCTGTGTACACTGCAAAAGCGTCAACCTCTACTCCTCTGTGTAAAAAGAACTGCACCATTTTCTCGTTCCGATTCTGAAGAGCACGTCTGAAACACCTCTGGCTGTCTATATCAAAACCTCTGTTAACCAACAGTTTCACCATCTCTAAGTGACCTTCCGCAAGATATGTGAGGTCCTTATTAACGTCCACACCTTTGTCAATCGCATGTTCCACGGCTGATGTAAGGCCATTTTTGCAAAGATAATGTAAAACACTTTCATCATAATCGTCTTGGGCATTCAGGTCAGGCTTAAGGGATAACATCTGATTGACAAACGCACTGTCTTTGGTTTCTGCTGCTAACATTAGCGGCGTCTGTCCTCTCGATTTCGCATTTACACGTAGTTTCATATGTCCACTGATGTATTTCAGTACATTGGACGCAGCATTCCGGCACACACCCATTAAAATGTCCCTTTCTTCCCTTCGGTTGAATGATATATTTTCTTTCTCCATAAGAATTTGAATGAGATGATGTGACTTGCTGCTGGAAAGTAATTCACAAAATGACTCTTTTGAGTTGCTATCACTTAGTTTCACAATATCAGATATACGCATGTGAAACCGGTTCTTCAGGCAGTCCATTAGCAAGTCAACAAAGTCTGAATTACAAAATGCCTGGTGGGATAAAACATGCAAAAAATTGCTCTTTTTAATTTCACTTGCAAATCTTCCAGCTAAATGTCCAGCATAAGTCCACGAGATATTTGCAACAATACCTGTCTCACCAGGAACGTTGTTCTCTCTTTCTTTGGAGGATGCAAGACGAAGGCGCTGGCGGATAAATGACAAACTACAATTTTCGATGACAAACTTCGACAGTTTTGTACTGAGAATAAAGGAAACACTGTCATATATAGACGGATGATCAAACATGTAAGTGTCATCTTCCTTCTTGAGGTAAGATCCAACCAAATCATCAGCAGCTTGTATGCATTCATATCCCAGACTATCATCCTCTTCCAGCTCTTGTCCACTAATCTTCCCATCTCTTTTAATCATGGCCATGAACAGTGAACGCTTTCTCATGTCTTGGATAGATTTATCCAAAGTCTGTCTGAGGAAATCAAGTGGTGCTTGAAAAAACATTTGCATTTGAAGGTGAGTCCAGTCCTTTTCATATGCTGTGGAAAACATTTTACAGACATGGGGGAAGCCGTGTGGACAGTCTGCCTTACATATCTGAGACACAACTGACTCTTCAAAGTCTATATTGTTTGCTTCAGCATGAACACGCCATATCTTCTTTCGCTCATAAGAGTCTCTCTGTGAGGAAACTTCCACTACGTACTGGGGACTGGAAATGTAATCTGCCATCCTTCCCAAGTCTGCCAATGAGGATTTCAGCACATAGTCACGGCCTACGAGGATAATGATAGTTTTGTCTTTGTTTGGACTTGTTTGTTTTAGCTGTGTTTGATCAATTTTTTGTCTCTCTGGAACCTTTTCAGCATATTTGTCAGGATGTTTCACATCCAGGATAGGTCGTAGACTTGGTCTCCACTTAGCCCACTCAGCTGTGTCAAATTCCAAATCACCAAATATGTCATCTAACAGAATGACAGGATTAGTGCAGGCCATTATGACCTCATTGAACTCTGCTGGTGACACCACTTGGTATACTTGTCTCCCCTGACTCTGCTGGTTTTTGAGGGTCATGTAGGCTATTGTGGACTTCCCCTCTCCTGGTCTTCCTTTAATTGTCACCCATGTGGCTCCTCTGTCCAGCTTCTCTCTCATTTTCTTGAAGGCTTTTGTCTCCACCATGTCTTTAGTCCACGACTGTATCCTGGACGCCGTCCTTTCTGTGGAAACAAGGCACATTTAACACATTTAACTGTGCATAAAATCTGAGTAAAAGAGAACAAATGTTAGATTTTGACATATTACACCCTAAGTGGAAATTTTTACTATGTTTACAAGCTGTCTTGTTCAGTGGTGACAAAATCAGTCAGGCTTCCAGTGGATGAAAAATCTGTCAAATAACTCACTCCTGATCTTCTGTGCTGCAGTCAGTGGTGCCTCCTCTTCATCCTGTTTGGTCGGAGTTGTACCGACATTCTGGGTTCCGCCAATGTTCAGATTCTCAGCGCCCTTCACTGTCACATCTCCAAACTGCTGCTGTACTTGTATAAAGTTGTACTGTGTGACTGTAAAAGAGACCATTTGACTGAAGCTGTCATAAGATGTGTTCCATGTTTGAATTTCGTCCGTGATTCTGAAAACCTGTACATGAACTAACACTGTATATTATTTGTACACAGCTGTATGTTGTAATAGTCTATTTAATGAGCAATAATAGTAATAATGTTTTTACATAAGGTGACTCCCCAGTTACGTTTGTTTATAACTGGCTTGGGTAACATTGAGCAGGGGTGACAAAGATTTGTGATAGGGTCCCTAAGATATCAGTATTAAAAACAATAAATTGAGAACATAAGAACCTGTCATCGAAGGACAGTAAAACTATTTGAGTATCACAGCTCATAATTTAAAACGAGTACGCTATCATAAAAATATATCACTATAGAGAACAATACACTATAAAACCGGGCTATAGATCACCAGCAACTGGAGACTGATCACCATACTAGGGACCATCGGGACTTACAGTACCTTTGCTACCTGCATGGACTCTAGCTGGATTTACATCTTCCCTTCAGCCACCGGTGATTGTAGTGAATGTTAGCCATTATTTAAAACAACAACTATTCTACGATTAAAATTTCGTAGGTCGAAATTCACTTTGAAAGTTTTGGGATCCTCTCAGGAATCCTCTCAGGAGGACAATTATTTACGAAAATCGAGTGAATGAGGGCAGCATGTGTTCATTGAGAGTTGGGTGCACTATGACGTACAAACCCAGGCGCATTTAGTGGCGGAAAGGTCAGGACAGACTGCTGGATGGTTTGCTTTGGATGACTTGTGTCTCAATCTTGGCATGATGATTAGTAAATGCTAATTACACGGACAAGTAGATGCTAACTGTGGGGACAAGTAGATGCTAACTGTACGGACAAGTAGATGCTAACTGTACGGACAAGTAGATGCTAACTGTACGGACAAGTAGATGCTAACTGTACGGACAAGTAGATGCTAACTGTACGGACAAGTAGATGCTAACTGTACGGACAAGTAGATGCTAACTGTGCGGAAAAGTAGATGCTAACTGTACGGACAAGTAGATGCTAACTGTACAGACAAGTAGATGCTAACTGTACGGACAAGTAGATGCTAACTGAACAGACAAGTAAATGCTAACTGTACGGACAAGTAGATGCTAACTGTACGGACAAGTAGATGCTAACTGTACGGACAAGTAGATGCTAACTGTGCGGAAAAGTAGATGCTAACTGTACGGACAAGTAGATGCTAACTGTACAGACAAGTAGATGCTAACTGTACGGACAAGTAGATGCTAACTGAACAGACAAGTAAATGCTAACTGTACGGACAAGTAGATGCTAACTGTACGGAGAAGTAGATGCTAACTGTACGGACAAGTAGATGCTAACTGTACGGACAAGTACATGCTAACTGTGAGGACAAGTACATGCTAACTGTACGGACAAGTAGATGCTAACTGTGCGGACAAGTAGATGCTAACTGTACGGACAAGTAGATGCTAACTGTACGGACAAGTAGATGCTAACTGTGCGGAGAAGTAGATGCTAACTGTACGGACAAGTAGATGCTAACTGTACGGACAAGTAGATGCTAACTGTACGGACAAGTAGATGCTAACTGTACGGACAAGTAGATGCTAACTGTACAGACAAGTAGATGCTAACTGTACGGACAAGTAGATGCTAACTGTACGGACAAGTAGATGCTAACTGTGCGGAAAAGTAGATGTTAACTGTACGGACAAGTAGATGCTAACTGTACAGACAAGTAGAGGCTAACTGTACGGACAAGTACATGCTAACTGTGAGGACAAGTAGATGCTAACGGCACGGACAAGTAGATGCTAACTGTGCGGAAAAGTAGATGCTAACTGTACAGACAAGTAGATGCTAACTGCACGGACAAGTAGATGCTAACTGTACGGACAAGTAGATGCAAACTGTACAGACAAGTAGATGCTAACTGTGTGGACAAGTAGATGCTAACTGTACGGACAAGTAGATGCTAACTGTACGGACAAGTAGATGCTAACTGTACAGACAAGTAGATGCTAAGTGTACAGACAAGTAGATGCTAACTGTAGGGTGGTAGATTCTAACTGTACGGACAAGTAGATGTTAGCTGTATGGACAAATAGATGCTAACTGTACGGACAAGTAGATGCTAACTGTACGGACAAGTACATGCTAGCTGTACAGACAAGTAGAGGCTAACTGCACGGACAAGCAATGCTAATTGTACGGACAAGTAGATGCTAACTGTACGGATGTAAATGCTAACTGTACGGAAAAGTAGATGCTAACTGTACGGACAAGTAAATGCTCAGTGCACGAAGAAGCAGATGCTAACTGCACGGACAAGTAGAAACTAACTGTATGGACAAGTAAATGCCAACTGCACGGACAAGTTATGCTAAGTGTACGGACAAGTAAATGCTAACTGTAAGGACAAGGAGATGCTAACTTTACGATCAAGTAAATTCTAACTGCACAGACAATTGCAGGTAAATGTTAACTGTATACACAGACAAGTACATTCTCCCTGTACGGACAAGTAAATGGTAAGTGTACAGACAAGTAAATGATAACTGTACGGACAATATCTGAGTGGCACTTTAGAAGCAAGTTCTTAAATCGGCCATCGTTCTTATGTGTTTATTTCTCGTTTATCGCACACTCAGCATTATTCCAGCTATATAACGGCGATCTATAAGTAATCGAGTCTGGAACAGAAACTCCACGAGCATTGACCTACGCTTCTGTGATATGATGACACGTGTGAACCCGGCCATCGAGAAATAGGGTCGATAGAGTAGCGCTGTGGCTAACGCACTCACGCTGAAGATCCGGGTTCGATTTCCCCAATGGGTACAATCTGTGGAACCCATATCTGGTGTCCTTCTCCGTGATATTGCTTGGATATCGCTAAAAGTGACGTAAAACCATATTTACACAATCTTCTCGTTCTCGTTACATAAATCCTTTGTTTTCATGTCCAGGCACACGCATATGTTACTGTAGTCCCACCTTTTAACAAAGCACCTCTTTTGAAAATATCTTATTGAAGGTATTCCATAACTGAACCTAATTTATCGCGTCACAACACTCACCTGCAGAACTGTACCAGATACCTGAAGTATATATATAAAGCAGTACTCATAAAACAGAGCTCACCTGTAGAAGAACCACCAGTCACTGGTACTAGAGGCATCCCAGAGGACTGTATCTTTGTTACAAGAGATCCTGGTATTCTGGGGTTAAGAGACGACGTGGAGGCTGGTGTCAGGGCTGATGTTCCCGGAACCTGTAGATTTGTGGTTTTCGGAACAACACAATCTGTAATTGTGGACGCTGTTGTCATAGTTGTTGTTTCCGGAACCTGCAGATTTGTTGTTTTCGGAACAACAGAAGCTGTACTTGTGTAGGCTTGCGTCACGGCTGATGTTCCTGGAACCTGTAGATTTGTTGTTTTCGGAACAACACAATCTGTAATTGTGGACGCTGTTGTCATAGCTGTTGTTCCCGGAACCTGCAGATTTGTTGGTTTCGGAATTACACAAGCTGTGCTTGTGGACGCTTGTGTCAGGACTGATGTTCCCGGAACCTGTAGACTTGTAGTTGCAGATAGCGGTCCTTGACTTTGATCAACTTCACCAGCTGAAGGCTGGAGCTGCTCTTGTTGCTGAGGTGCTGATGACATTTCTCCTTGTGGTTGCCGACAACGTCCCACAATGTGTGGTGCTAGTGACGTGGTATCTACGAAGTGAACACAAAGATTGCAATTGGATACCCAAGGACAAGTAAATTCAATATTGTGATTTGTATTGATATAAATTGGTTTGAATTGATTTGCACTGTAAGATGTGAGGCAGGTACTTGAAGTAGGAGTTGATAACTGTGGTGCACCATGTGTCTCAACCAAGTGTTTAATCTACACTGTTTTCCATATGTTGCGGGGTTTTAACACTGTTCACCGTATGTTTCAGGGTTTGATTTATACGGAGGAAATTGTACCCTGATGGATTTAGCTCAGAATAATAAACTCACACCTTACACACTGAAGCCTTGTGGTTTCCATTACTGAAGAACCCCAAATCCCATGCTACTACAATACAATGACACGTCAGCCTGATTGTGGTGGCCAATAGCTATTGCTGATTGATTAAATATTAGTGGAGATGATGCGACCCTCCAGGTTCCACATGATTTCTAGTTCCGATTATCGATAATTTCAGCTCCTGTCTATGAAAATACGACAAAAAACCCCACAAATGTACTACACATAAATCATTGTTACATAATAAACACCACTGCCACTGCCACATAACAGCAACACTGTAACCAAACAAAAAGGAAGGAAATGAAAGGAAGAAGGCGGCTATTCTAATTCAAAATTGGATTGGGGGATGGGTTGGTTTTTTTTTTATTGCCGTACTCAGCAATGTTCCAGTTATATGGCGGCGGTCTGTAAACAATCGAGTCTGGACCAGATAATCCAGCATGACCATCGACCTGCGCAATTGGGATGTGTCAACCAGGTCAGCGAGCCTCACTATCCGATCCCTTTAGTCGCTGAGGATCAATTCTAACCCGGATCTTCACGTGTCTGATGTAAAAGATGTCAGGTTTTGCGGGTTTGTA